CCCATGTCTCCTAACACATTGCCCTTCACCAAAGTAAAGCCTAATAAATGTGCAATAAATGAATAGGCAGTGGATCAATGGATGCCTAATGTCATATATGAAAAAAGCTCATAGATACTGATGATTTATTCAGACTGTTCTTAGTCATTTATCAGGTGCTAGTTATTGTTTTATATATAACCTTTGAGAGCTCAATGTTATCTAGTAATTCTCGAGAAGAAACAATGAAAAATATATGTCTCTGCTCATGCTCCATTGATGATCTTAAAAAAAAGTCTCATTTTCAAAACAATGAGATCATTGTTAGCTATTTGAAGCTAAAACTTGATTATTATATTCTTTATTTATTCAGCCCCAAATTTAGTTAGCTTCATCTTATACTTTTCTAGAATATAGTTGTAAATGAAAGAACAGTCTGGGAAACTGATTCTTTTTCCCACCAGAATCTCCAGCTAAATATTTTCTCATGTTTGGAAATGCAGCAAAGGATTACAACGGGATCAATGAGAAGTCATAAAATATTTGTTAAGTACCATTCTCACAGATTGAGTCCATTTTCCCAGAGAATATTATTAGTAACTCTCCAATTGCTCATAAAACTGCATGTTTCCACTTAAAAGTCCATCAGACTACCTAATAGCTAGTCCGCCATTAAAGCAAATTTAGCATCTGCTGTGATAAATGTGCTATTACTTGAAAGAGGGGGTTTAGAAAATTCTGTGTAGAATTGCACACTTGCTGGCCATGCCATCTTCAGTATCCAATTACCCTTCCTTTCTTCACTTGTCAGTGCTGAGTACAAGCTAAGGCAAAAAAATCACTTGTTTTACACAGTTTCAAACCAGTATTTCCAGAGCCATTGGAAGCATCATCTTTCTTCATGAGGAAAATATTCTAGATTTATCACAAATTATTTCTGACCAGAATTCCTGGTGAGATGTGTTCCCTTGAGTTATAATTTATCTCTCTATAGGAATCTGGTACCCCAGCAAAATAAAATAACTAAGTTCGTGATGACCTGAGACCAACTGGAAGACTCTTACCTTGGCATGAAGGTGTGGTCCTTCAATCAACAGAGGAACTTATATCATTTGGAACCCATATTTAACATCTAAACAAATAATTGTTTGGCAATGGTCTGGGATCATCTGATACATTGACTCTGATTGACCTCCCTACATCAACTAATGAGCAAGGGGCTATTCCGCATGCCACATTCAGTGTCTGAAGCATCTGGCTTTAAACACATGCTTCATCTTTGAGTAGTTAGAATGGTAGGTAACTCTTACACAATTCTCCTTCTACAACCCATACCCAAGCTTCCACAGCACAAAGATACTTATTATTTTCCCTGATGTCTATCTATGTGATGGGCCAACTTAAACTGATGTGTCTACAAAGATAACTCCCAAAGCCATCCAAGGTCTCTTCCCCACCTTCCCTCCCACCTCTATTTTCCTACCATTCTATTGCCCTTCATCTTTATTAGTTTTAAGCCCAACCATGCTTACTATAATATTTTTTTAATGTGTTAGCTACAAATCATGGACTTTATTGCAGAAACAGGATGAAAACTTATGAATAGCAAAAGTTTTGAAGTTCCCACATTGAATAGTGCTGACCTGCCTTATGATGTTTTCTTATTTAATAGATGCAGGGATAATTTTCAAAGGATGCAAAGAAGTAGAAAAAAACCAAACTACTCTTTGGATACAACTCCGCTTTATAAGTGTTTTTTTTAACCAGCAAACAGAAACCTAGACTGATGAGTTTGTGGGTCTGGGTACCTCTGCTTTGGTACATTTGCTAAATCTCTTCCTTCATCATTAAAATGTGGCTGGAACCTACAGTGGTTTTTTTGAAGTAATTAGAAAGGGTGAAGCGAGTGCAGTGAATTCTGTGGCTCTCCAGCTGAGCTGGTTGTTCCAACTTTTCCTTCAGGGACCAAGTATTGTTTCCTTCAGATAATGGAGTGTGGGTGTCTGACAGCTGTGGATTGTAATCCTCTCTACAAATTGCTCCTCACCGAAGAGGTTCATTAGACTCAAGGTTATGCCCATTTCTGAAAGTTATTTCTATCCACTAATAAGTTCATTATAGACTACAAAGTTCCTGTTACTCAATTCTGTCTTCATGGCTGCCCTAACACTAGAAGTGGCCTCTGGTGTCAGTGGAGGTCTTTGTGATGTCTTCATACACAGTTCAAATTCCAAACAAGTGTTGAACCTGATTATACCCAACAAGATTCACCCCCACCCTCACCCAAAACCATATACACAAAGGCTCCATCTCAGGGTCTGTATATGCAGCAATCTCACTTGGGACTGTGAAAAGCAAATTCTTTTCCCTTCTTTAAAAATGGCAGAAATGCAGTATTTGAGTTTTGGACTATAGCTTTTATTCTTAGAAATGGATTTTTGGAGTCTATTCTTTTTGGAGGGATACTTTGCTCAGCCTAAATATAGTGTGGGGAGGGCCTTGATTCTGCCTCAAAATGATGTGTCAGACTTTGGTGATTCCCCATGGAATGCCTTACCCTCTTTGAGAGATGGATGGGGGTGGGGAGGAGGAGAAGGTGGGGGGAGTGGGACGAAGGGAGGGAGTGGGAACTGGGTTAGGTATGTAAATGAGAAAAAGAACAGTTTTAAAAATTAATTAATTAATTAAAGAAACTGGAAATAGGAAACTTATAGTATGGTTTAATAATTATTTTATGAAACATGCTAAAGTATTGTAAAACTCTTTCAGTGGAATGAAATGTAGTATAAAGGTTGATTTTTATGTATCTTATAGCAGTAAAAAGTATATAATACAAAAATGCGTAATATAAACCATGTTTTTAAGTAGATATTTTCAAGCAAGGCTTCGCTTCTCTAGAAAAAAATATAATCTCAATAATGGAAAAGAGGTAAAGTCTATAAAAATAGTAAAAACTAAGCAACACTGCAGAGAACACAGGAAGGGTTTTACTAGCAACAGATTTTCCAAGTCGTAGTGAGAAAAGTAAGTTGAAAAGACAGAATAAAGTGTCACTGTGTGTTTGTAAACTCTCAGGTTGGATATGGTGAAGGTCACCTTCAATCCCCATACTCCAGATGTGGAAGCAGGAGGATCAGGAGTTCGAGAACATTCTCGACTACACCGTAAATATAAGGCCAGCTTCCATTATATGGCATCCAGTTTCAAAACACTGAAAGCAAAATAAAAACTTCAGAAATAGAAAGAAATTTAAAGGCAAAATCAACACCATTGCTTAGAAAAGATAGATCTCCTTAAACTAACCAAAGTTTTTATATTCTTTCTTCTGTTTGATACAACTCTTTTCACTCGTGGTTTTCCTTCAGTAACCTTGGTCGTTTCTTTTTTCTTTTCCTTGTCCTTTTTTTCTGCCTTCTTTATTATTTTTATTCCAAGTGTATAAAACCAACCCCTGCCCCAACCCTTTAGTCCCCACTGAAACAAGTTAACACAGTTCTTGCAAAGTTCAGGCAAAGTTCTGTCTCTTCCGTTGAACTTTTTATTTTATTTTGTAAAGCTGCTTCTTGCCTAAATCTTTTAGCATTGTTAAAAACAAGAACCAGAGAACTTAGACTAAAATTGTCTTTGAAAAGACAATTGCAAATTGAAACATAATTCTTTTATGTTCCTCGCCTATGCCCTCTCAAGTTAAAGAGGGAACTGTCTCCCCAATAAATAACAGTGTTTCTGAGTCACTCCATGCCTGGCAACAAGGGAGGCCCTGGATCCTGGTAAGTAGCAACAGCTGATTTAGCAGTCAAGGATGGTCCTACATCTGAGCCCTGACAGAATAACAGAGGGTCTTATTGACTGTCTCTGGCTTTGGAACTTCTAAGTAGGCACTGTTTTCTGTTGACTTACCCTGGAGTTTTAAGCCGGAGACAATGCTGAACATAGTGTCAACTGGTCCTGGTGCCAGACAGATCAGAGGCCCTGCAATATTTACAGTTCCCCTTCTTGGGTTTCCATAAATGAAATGGCCAGACTGAATGGAGAAAATCAAGGCCCAGCTGGCTAAAACCACAACTGGCAGCCAAATACTTGGGCAGGTTCCAAGAGCTGGTGTTTAAAGAGGCCAATTTACAGAGAAAATTCCAACTACCAAAGCGACGACTGCCACAGTAGCTTCAGCATGAAGCTGCAAGCTCAAACAATTTTCATTTCCAAAGTTTGTAAGCTAACTGATTTCTTCAGAAACATTTTTATCTTAAGAGTAAATCCCTTAAAAAAAAATAGCCCATTCTCCAGAGACATAAGAGTAGTTCATTTGTTTTACATACTTGGCAAATGTTGGATCACTAGGGATGGGAGCTATCGTCTTATTTTTGCTTAAGTCCATATAGAAGAATGAGCTGTTTTAAAAAGTTTCTCAATTTTTAAAGGATCCACAGAGAAACAAGGAAGATCTAAGCACTTACGTGAAGTAGTAGAACAGAGAGTTTTGCCAACTGAAACTAATTTGGGAGGTTTCTAATACATCTCGAGGCCAATTGAAAAACAAAGATTGATTTCCTCTTACACATAAAATATAACTCTAGCTTTGGTCGTTTAGGAAGTATTCATTTGTCTTCCTAGGGGATGGGAAGATGGAAGAGCCACGATGAAATATTAGAACTTTAGTAAGTATGCTAAGGACTTCTTCCCCCCTTTTACTAGGCTTCAATGAGGGCAACCACCAGGGAGAGGCCGTTACTTAACCCTGGACTCTCTGATGGGTGCCAAGTCAGAAATACAGCCATATCCAGGTGGTGGTCGTACATGTTATAGGACCATCTTTTTTTCACAGGCCAGCAGCAAAGAGGTTTGAAAGCAATTTAGCAAAGCTGCTTTCTTTCGTATACACACATGCACACATAAGTGACTGCGGGAAAGAGAAGACATTCAGAGAAAGAAGCAAGGGGTCCCACCAGGTAGCACCCTCAACCACTGTTCTTTGACTATAATTCCGGAAACAGATAAAGGCAAGAGCTAGAAGACATTACCTCGATATAGGGCACGATCTTGCAGGAGAAATCTTCCAAAAGCCACTTCTTGGTCAGCTCATGGAAGATGACCAGGGGTAGGCAGAAGAAGATGATGAGAAAGTCCCAGAAGGCCAAGTTTGCTAAGAGAGAATTGGAGATGCTCCTCATGTAGTAATTGTGACACACGATGCACATCACCGCCAAGTTACCAATGATACCGGTCCCAAAGATCACCACAGATAAGCACATGACTGCATAGGCGCCATAGGACTCCTGGGTCAGAGGGTAGAAAGGGTTCTTCAGTCTCACGCGCCTGCTTGTGCTGTTTCCACGTCGCGGACCCCCTTGGTCAGGGATCCAGTCATCTACAGACCCGTTTTGTGGTAGTGCCCTGCCTGGGGGAGCAATGGTCCTCCCTTCGTGCCCCGCTGGAGGTTTTTGGTGGGAACCCTGGAGTTGTCCAGTTCTCCGTGGCCAGTAAAAAAGATCTCTGGGTTCAGGGTCCATTTTCACACTCTTCTCCTGGCTGCTCCGGGGAATGCCAGCTCCCCTGGGACTCATCTCTTCCCCCTCCGAAGTCTGAAGGAAGAGTTGGAGGTCCGTGGGGTCCCTTCTCCCCAAATTTCCCAATGGCTCTTTACCCTGCGCACCTTTCCACCTCCAGACACCAGGTGGCTTGGTTGGACGACCCAAGGGCCCAGCAGCTGCAGCACCTGCCGCCTCTTCACTCACACCTGTCTTGCCGCCTGGGGAGGGTGGGAGGTCCCAGGAGGTCGCCCCTCTCACCTCTGCTTCCAGTTTCTCCCTGGGCATACGAACTCGAACTCGCAGAATGTCTCTCACAGAATTTCCTGGTTCCCGGGCATCCCTGCTGTGGCGTTGGAGCAGTGGGGGACAGTTGCCCCCAAGACAAGTTCCATTCCTGGCCTCAGAAACAAAGCTCAGGACAGCAGAGACAGAAACCTTCATCAGCAGGAGGAGCAGTAGCCGCGACGTACGCGAGAAAGGCGCGCCCCTGGCCGGCATGGCTCGGCGAGGGCGCACCTAGTAGCCCCGCTCTTACTTAGCACCGACACCTGCTGCCAAACTTGGTGCAGAGAGTTAGACACATGTCACATACTCACCGCTGGGTAGTGGAGAGGAGCTGAAGACTACTGGGAAAGCAGGGAACAGAACCGGGGGGGGGGGGGGACAACACACCCCCTACAATCCTTCCACGTTTGGCGTCCTGTGCATTTCGCAGTCAAATCTAACCCAAGCTCTGATCACCGGAAGGGTCCCAGGGAAAATAGCAGATCCACCAGACTGACCTTGAAAAGTTGCAAACACCACCCGATTGTTCCCTAATGTTGCGACTGGGCACAGCCTGGAGGAAGCCCCACGTTCCTCCCTGCCTTTGGGTGGTGACTGCCTTCTTGGTAACAGTTGCTTTGCTATTTACATCCTTTTGCTACAGCTTTATCCAGTCGCTAGTCGAGGTCTCTTGAGAGAAAGAAAAACAAGTCCCCTCCACCAGGGGACTGGCTGTCACAATCCCACGCCCGGCTGGCAGGGAACCCGTTGCAAACAGAGCCAATGCTGGTGCTCAGAGGAAACTCTTGTCTGGTTTAACTCAGGCCACTTTCGAGGGTTCTGTTGCCAAGGAGAAGCCGGATTCGAAACCCGCGACTGCTGTCAAAGTTGCTGCTCCTTCCGCTCAAAGTTGACAAGGGGCTATCGCCGGCGGTTGTGCATAGTGCCCAGGCGGAGTAGGCGTGGGATGGAGGGAGAGGGAGGAGAGGGCGCTGCTGTTGTGTGCACAGTGCTGTCGGGTGTAGGAGCTTGTCACTGCCACCACCATCACAGCCCCGGCGGAGAGCGTGGTGCCTGGAACCGCCGCAGGCGGGTGGAGCGGTGCGTGGTCGCCAGGGGAGGTGGCCCTGCCTCTCCCAGCCGCTCAGCCACTGCGCGCGCTACGCTCCAGGCCTCCTCCCACTCGTCCTCCTTCTAACAGAGCTTCTGGTTTGTGGAGAGAAGGAATCCCCTGATGGTTTTACCACACACTAAACCCACACATGTTTCATTCAAGCCGTTCGCAGCGGCTTTCACTTGGAAGCTGTGAGCGACCAGGGAACAAGGGCGGCGGCGCCGCTGAGCCTGCGTGGCTAGAAGCAAGGACATGAACTCCAACGGCTTTTTCCCTAGATATTCCAACCAGCCGATCTAGCCGTCCACCACCCATGAGAGAGGACGATCTCAGGACCGGGGTGCGGGCGGAGCTCCCTGGAGAACGTAGAAAGGGCGAGACTCCGGGATCTGCAACAATTGGTATCAGCTGGTGCGCATGCTCAGGCCTCAGACTACCCCAGGGAATAGTGACACATTCACAGTCTTGATTCCCTGGAGCAGGGGCAGAAGAGAAACAGAGTTCACAGGTTTCATTCACTCGGTGAGAGAGAGGGGTGTAACGTGAGCAGTCTCCAGGCGCCCCACTGCCTTTAACATTGACTTTGAAAGCATCCTGCCCGGAGGTGGGAGTGAGGGCAGATCATCACCAGAGAAGGAAAGCAGCCTCCTGGACATGCTGAGAACTGACAGCAGAGGGAGACCGAACCCCAGCAAGTTGCCCATGCCTTTCCAACCCTGTATAGCCATCATGGTATAGCTAGTAAAACAGACAAATACCCACCCAATTAAGGGGTAAAAAAGAAGGAAGAAATAACATATTGTAAAATAGAGACAAACACAACAACAGAATTATCTAAGGATACAAGAGAAAATATGATAAGTGTGATAAAGAGCCACAAACTGTATCCTAGGCACTTCGATTTGTGAATATGTGTTTCCATGGCAAAGGGGGCTCTACGATGAGCTTCAGTTAAATATCTGGAGATGGGAAGAGCGTCATAGTTTATAAGGTGGTGCATTACAACACAAGGACCCCAGAAGAGGAAGGTCACGAGGGTGGGGAGAGCTGAGAAGAGGAAACCAGGCCATAAGGCTTAAAGATGAGAACTGGGCTAAGGGACACAAATGTGCCGCCTCCTCCCCCTACTTCCTGCCTCCAGCTTCCAGAATCCATTGTTCCACTGACCCTGATAAACCTGCATGCATGTTTCAGAACAGTGATACCACACTAATGAACAAATCAATCTAAAAATGTCACAACAGGATTAATTTTACAGAAAAAAAAAATACAAACTCCACAAAATAGCTCAAGGAAAAAAAATTGCAGAAACAGTAAAGCCATCACATTAAAGAGACCAAATCAGTTATCAATGTGTACTCATAAGAAAGTGCAGGGCCTTAATATAGTCTTAGGACTAAATGTATATTTGTGCAAAATGTTTGAAATGTACCGAGTTCTCTTTAAAAGCCACAGGGACATTATAATTAGTCAACATCAATCAGTGAAAAATAAATTCCAAATTAGAACGTATAGATCCATATTTATCTGTACATTCCTCAATCCATTAATATATGTTAATTTCCCAAATTTGTTAAATAGTTAGCAAAATATTCTGTATATGTTCATTACAGCAGATCAGTGAACAAATTAAAGTTATCTTCTCACTGGATTTGTATTCTTTTGGTAGAGACAGAGCCAACAAATAAATACCATGCATTGTGTTTTATGTTAGGTGGTGTGCTAAAGAGAAAGGAAGACTAAGACGACGGAAATAGAGTTGTAGCTAGAGAAGGGCCCCACTCGGTGGATGTATAGGATCTGGGTGTCCCTTCCTAGATGGCAAGACTGTTCAATGTAGCATAAATGATCACAAGGTGCTCAGTTACCCAGGGAAACAGTAAACAGAGAAATATGCACCAACTTATACAGGAATTTGATAAGTACTAGAACAACAGATGATGGGGATCTTTGAAGAAGTCAGCAAATGGTGTCAGGAAAAGTTGACAGACTTATTTTCTTTCTTTGTGCTACCTATGAAATCTCCATCAGATTAAAGACCTAGATATGAAAATTAAGTCTTTAAGGTTTAGAAAAGGATTGTTAAGACATTGTCATCACCATGTCAGAGTAAGAACAGCTTTATTAAACTTGATAGAATACAAGAAAATAATGACAAATGTGATTACCGTAGCGTTTTCCCATTTCTGAGTTAGTAAGGCCATGATCTCTACAGCCACAGGTTGGAACTGCAATGTGTTTGGAAGTATTAGGGGTTCCTCATACTGTGGACCAGGTAAAGAAAAACCTGGCTTTAGTTGGTCTTATAAGTCAGAAGCACTTCTATTGGGACAAGATCACAGCCGCCATGAGAAATCTGATATAAATTCTATGTGAGAACATTTCCAGAAAGGTTTAAGTGAGGCAGAAAGATGAACCCTGAATGTAAGCAGCACCGTTTCATGGGTTGCAGTTTTGGAATGGATAAACAGGAAGAACCCAGCTGAGCACTGAGCACTGACATTCCTTTCTCTCTGTGTTCCGACCACAGATACGATGTGTCTGGAACCTCACTCCCTGCCACAATAAACTCTCTCCCCTATAAACTGTGAGCCAAGATAGACTCCAACTCTGTTCGATGCCCCTAAAGAGACTGTCAAAGGAGGTCCTTACACGTCCTATGGCCAACAGAAGGGTGTGATATGTAATTTTTTTAAGCTTGCCCTAAGACTAAGAGGAGAAAGTATTATAGCAAGGCCCAGGAATGCTGTGACGTTGTTGTCTAACTTTCTGGATTTTCTTTAAAATATGACATCCTATGAAGCGCTTTATAATTTTATTCTTCTGTTGATGCTCAGACAGGAAGACTCATAGCCAGCAGCCTCAAAAAAAAAAAAAAAAAAACAAAAGTTTAAGGGGAAAAAAATAACTGAAAAATAGATGGTTAAGAAGTAAAATGGGGAATTTCACAAAGGGTTAAGTCCCGAATGACAAGCAAAATGGAGAAAGTGCCCAACACGAGCTTATTGGATAACTGCAAATGGAAATACCAATAAAAGTGTACTTCTTTTAAACTGCAAATAAATAAATAAATAGGAAGACAACTTCATTTGAGAGGCGGGAAAGAAAATGAGAACTTACAGGCTGCCGTTGACGGAGAAAATAATTTGCCAATACCTTAAAATATCGCAGGTTTATATCCTATGAATTCAAAACACAAGGTCAAGAATAGAACCTTGTGGAGCTCTTGTGTGCCTTACAACGATTCCTCCCACTTATTTCTATGAGCAACAACAACAGCCAGAATTCCAAGGAAATAATGTTAATGACCACCAAGATAGGAACGGACATTTCCATTAGAGTGTCTGTAATGAAAACAGCAAACTAGATGTGCATGTCATATCAACCAGACTGATCCAAACACCATGAATATAAGAGAAACGAAGCAAGATTCGATAGGTTTGCTATACTGTGCCACCCTTTGGGTTATGCATATTGTAAGAAGTAGAGAGAAAGGACACATCTTTTTTTGATCATTAGTCTCTTCAGAAATAGGCAAATGGTGATGCGATGCAAAGAACCTTCTATTATAATTAAAGTATTTTTTTTAAGAATTCCAAAGCAATAGCTAGGTTAATTGTAGACTAGGGGGGGAAAGTGCCAGAATAAAGTCTGTGGTACTATTTTCCCTCTCAAATTACCTTAAAGTTGGCGTTATATATGTAAACAAGTTTTCTGTTCTTCTTCCTCTGGATCAGCTTAAATGTGCCACTGCCTTCCATATTACTCATAAAGGAATAGAGGCTGAAGTTATAGGGAGAAAACCCCTTTATGTCCTTCCTAGAAGCTCCAGCTGGCATCATTAAAGTGGCAGAACACAGTTCCCAAGTAGACAGTTGTCTATGTGGCTTATGCAAACACCAGAGTGATGCTTGTGTGAATCTGCACGCCTCCTCCGTTTCCCTAAGCATTCCCTTCTCCACCTGAACAATGATGCCTTCCTGTTTGGATGGATGCCATGTCCTAGCTCCTTCAGTTTCACAGTGACCATGAAAAAAGCCATGGGGACCTGTATTGAAGCCAGGCACAATATCAATTTTTTAGAAAAATGTATTTTTTCTTCTAAAATACAAGGATACAAACAGCTGTTTTCAGATTTGCTCACACAATTTATTATATTGATTAAGTGGATAGGAAACAACAATATAAAATATAAAATTTCAATGGCATTGATAACCCAGCTCTTTGTAATTCTTAGCAGAATTTAAACACCTTTAAGAATAGATAAGCCTTAATGGGCAATGTGTATGATAAATGAAGGTTTGAAGTAAAGGTTTATTTTTTAAGAAAGTTTAGAATACTTTCAAAAAAGAAGTAAAACAAACACCTTTCAAATGAATTCCCAAGGTTTCTCATGGTTGTTGCTCTAATTTTAACACTAGGGAGAGTCATAGCTCATCTGAAGTTTCTCCTTTAGAAGTCAATATCAGAAAAGCAGTTAGGTACTCAGTGTCTGAATTAGGGCAGAGGTCATTTATCTCTACATAAAGGACTGGTTTGGGTTATGGATATTTTCCCTTTCAGCATTCCATAAGCTTTGTATTATATAGTATTGATCTTTATCAGAGTGAATACATGTAAATTTTTACATGTCTAAGTATTTCTATGAAATCTATTATACTCCATTTAGTGTTTGATCTGCTGAAATAAAACATATTAAAGTAATTTACTACTTCAAATTTTTAAGATACATCACTGAACAGAGGATAATTTATGCAGTGGTCAATTCACTGCTCAAATCCTTTTTCCCTTTATGCTTCAAATAATTAAGAAAAGACTATTTTCACAAGAGGACTTTTAACATGCTGCCAATAGATCATTTTCTGAGATTCAACTGTCCTGTTCTGATGTTTGACATTTTGTGACTCAAATTCTCTCTGTCCATAGTTATCAATTATTACTCCAAAAAGCCTCATCCACGTACCTATTATTCTATTCACTATTATTTTTACATATGGAAGTTTATTTAGAATTAATAGGAAAATACTTTCATTAGAGCTATAACATCAATACAATTATACCTATATCTTAAAAATCAAAATTAAAATATTTATTTTTGGAGGCATCCCGAGGTGCACATGATCCTATCTCAAAAGGAAAACAAAATAAAATGTTTTTAAATGAAAATTATACTTTATGGCAGACAAACATGTAGTTCTTGGACTACATAAAATATGTTTGCCCCAGAATACTACACTGTGTAAAAAGCCAAAATGCAAAAAGAAGCAAAACTGAAGATGAATTAACATGTACATGACCAAATATTTCCAACTTTTTTATGGATGCAAATGCTCAAGAGATATGTCCTCTTTTCTCTCTGAAAATACAAAGAGAAACAGATGATTTGATACTTACTCAGTCTTGAACCGATCATCATCTAAACAGGAGCCCAAAGCATCTCAGGCTTCAGTTTGTCAGGGTTGCACAAGTGACAGATTGTCTCTAGCAATCACATTGCTTTAGTTTTAGTCCTTCTGAACATCATTGTAGATAGGATTTTGCAAGAATTACCCAGAAGAATTGCAATATTAAATACATTTTGTTTCTCTCTCCTTCTTTGTGGGTTCAAGTGCAGGTTCTGTCAGTGAGATTCTTCTTAAGACTTTTCAAAACAAATCCTTGTATTCTTCTGTTGCTCTGGCTCTGTCAAGTCTTTTGCTTGAGTGAGTTGATAT